AGAATAAAAAAGAAGCTATTCCTCCCTCTCATCTCACCCGCGTGTACGTACGCCTCCCTCATCCCATTCGTACGCATGTAACGTATATGTGCCCCACTTTTTTTTACTCTCCATTTAACCTTTTCTTTATTTAGTTTTATATTGAATACCCTACAATATATTGGTCTCACCTATGATTTTTTATGCTATTGATATTTGAGCATATATTTAATCATTCACTTTAGTATAAAAAATATGTAATTATAATAGGAGATCCTAAATATTCTGAGAAAAATATAAAACATCCGACCCTTGATTTTCACTTAAATCGATAGACCAGTTATTTTATACCATTAGATGAGATCTATTAGGAAAATAACACTTAACAAACTGGGAAAAAAAATATCCCGCGTACGTATAATACATAGTATTGTTCACTGGGCAAAAAAGCCAAAAAAAAAATCTTGTGTAAGTGTGTACTCCTACTATTCGCCGAATAAAAATAGTTTTACTATGTGAAATGCGCTTAAGAAAAAACCGCATGGATTTTAAAGAAGATGAATGGATTAGATTAGAAGTCACCTAACATCCTAACACGACTATAGAAGATGCCATATGTGCCGATTTGTATCGTAGGATGAAAATCCGGCACCAATTTATCGGTATTAATACCAGCAACCGACACCTATGAGGAAAATAGAACAAACACCTTTAGCTTTGCACGAGAAAAAAAAAAAGAAAGCTGGCTCGAATCGAGCCGAACTTGCCAACCACACCACCACTGCCATCATCCTCCTGGATCCACCATTGTCGTCCTCGAGCCCATTTCCCTGCCGCCAACATCTCCCGCATTTGACGGTGAAAATGAAGAGGCTGAGTGGGAGAGGGAGATGGGTTGTTGCCATGCTGTCATCGTTGTCCTAACGCTGTACCCCCGCCGTCGCTGCACCGCCTCGACGAAACAGCTTCGGCCGTGCCCACGCCGTCGTTGCGCCATATCGCCGTTGTCGTTGCGCCGTGCCAAGGAAACGTCTTTCATGCTATACCCTCACCGTCGTCACTCCGTACCACGAAATGTACAGCTGTCACGCCATGCTAGCGAGACAGGAAGGGGAGGGGGGAGAGGGATGTCACCGCCGATGGGGAGGGGAGGGAGAAAGCGGAGGGGCGGAGGGGATTATGATTCTTACCAGCGAGATATGTTAAGGTAAATTGTTGGACAATGGAATTGAATAAATTGTCACCTTTTTCTTATAAAAACCTCAAGTAAATGTTTTGATTAAAAAGAGGTGTGTGGGACTATGTTCTGGCGCTTAATTTACAAGTTACCCAAACATAACATTCAGGACAATGATAATAAATAATCGTGACTGGCCGGTGTAGATGTAATCGGGACAAAGTGATTTTAGTTTAATATGAGTGAAATTCAGTATATCAAAGACTACAAACTATTCCACAGTATAGAATATTCTTTTTCAAATTTCTTAATTATAATGTAGTTTATCGTACATATAACGAATACGATGAGGTAGGATTTCTTTAAGCATTCTCCCGCTTCCTTCCTAGTTATTAAGAATTTGTGTTAGATAAAACATGCAGCAATATATAGGTGGCATATGCTTCCCAATCAACGTGTACATGTAGAGTGCACAATTGTAGATATGTCAGGAACAAATTATTTGATAATAGAATTCAACCGTATCCTATATTTTTTAAACTCTAACTTATTGGTAGTTGTTTACACCCAAATTTTGTACCTAGGGATAAAATAGGAAAAATTGCCAAAGTTTGGAAGTCTGCCGGTTTTCTCTAATTGGGCCAGTCTGACTGCCATCTGTTGGCCGGTCAGACCGGCGGTGTGTGGCCGGTCTGACCGGCAGAGTCCGAGTCCGGGTCTGTTTCGCAGGGTCTCGAAGTTTCCTTGCTCGGGAAGGCATGTTTCGGGTTTCCTTTGGATTCTATCCCGAGTTGTACGTGGAGGAGGGCCTATAGAGGGCAAGACCAACCCCTATATAAGGGACATGGCCGGTTCAATTGTAACTAACCAATCTACAATCATTCAATCGAATTGTTTTTCATATTGCTTTTAGTTTTCTCTTAGTTTGTCCATTTTTGTCTATTTGCGCTGTAAATCGTCCGCCGCAGCTGCGAGAGTGCAACACCTCTTCGTAGGTTTGTCTTGAAAACCTTTCGTTTTGCCTACGAGACGGGTAGTTATCTAGAAATCGGCTCTGCTAGCCGCTTTAGTTATCAAAACCCATCTTGGTCTAGTTTTTGCTAGATTGAGGTGGTTGGCGACTCTAGAATCACCGCAAGGCGTTAGGTGCTGCGATCGTAGTTATCAACTTGTCACAAAAAGTTGCTAACAGTAGTGATCGAACATTCCTTCCCAATCATCATAGCACACTAACCGATTTAAAGGCGTATTATTTTTTAGAGTACCCTTGGATGAATATGAGCCATCCATTCATCTAGATCAATGGATCATATTCATTTATACTATACCCTGTAGTATGGACGGTAGAATTCGTGTAGGGATATATTTGGAAGAAGATGCATATGGCAGGTAAATAATTTTGCAAATTTCATTGACCGTCCCGATTGAATTTTGGCAACCATCTCTTATTTTTTTGGTTCCCTTTGAGCAACAACAACAGTCTACCTTATCTGATTCCCAAAACTGATTTTGAGGAATTTTAGTAAAAAAATAGCTCCAACAAATCCCCTACTCTCCTACCCGAGTTTTGGAGTTCCCTTCTCCTGATTCCTTGCTCCGTTTATATGTGGACGCGTCGCTCCCAATCTCACACTCCCGCCTCTCTCCTCCGGCTCCCGCGCATGGGAGATAGCGATCTTTCTGTGAAAGAAAAAAAAAACGGAACATTTCTGTTGGTAGTTTAACAGAAGGGCCCATTTTTAAGTTTTGGGGATTGAATTTAGGATATCTGTTGGAGGGAGGAGTTTTTTCACTACCTATTTTCAGTTTAGAAACCTAAAAACATTTTTTTGGGGAAGATTATAGGTAATCTATTGGTAATGCTCTTGAAAGATTGTTTCTTCCGTGTAGTTTACTTGCCTACTTTTTAGGAGAGGAATTAGGATCAACCGAGTTCTTCGTGCATGCATATATGATTGACTATATCCATGAAATAGTTTCAGCTTTCTTGCTTCTACATATATATGTCCACAGGATTTGCATGCACCTATATGTATGATCTGAATTCTGAATCAATGGATCAACACTATTAGTTCTTCACTATCCAGGTTTCGTGTATGTTCGTCCTAAGCAATGCAGGCTGCAAGAATGATAGCAAGCGGTGTTTAGCTGGTGGCACTAGCCGTGAGAGAGATTGAATTTGACGGCGAGAACAGCGAGAATTAGTTCGGTTAAAATAGCTCCAATTAATACTTTAATCTAATGTCTAAAATAGCCTTAAGAATCAATGGTCAGATCTAAACAAACTACACTACTACCTCTAGCAGCAGAAGGTGCTGTAAAAACATTTAGATAGCCCAACACGCGCGGACTCAATCTCACACTACAATTATAGCTTTAATTGTCTAACTATATTATAATCTATCAAACATATATTTGACATTCTAATTAACAAGCGGTGCTCCATTAATTTGTAGGTACGAGATCGTGCTTGGGACCGGATCTGCGCTTCTGTACTTACATGAGGAGTGGGAGCAGTGTGTGGTGCACCGTGATATCAAGCCGAGCAACATTATGCTCGACACCGCCTTCAATGCCAAGCTCGGTGACTTCGGGCTAGCTAGGCTTGTCGACCACGACCGGGGCTCCCACACGAACGGTGCTAGCTGGCACGATGGGGTACATGGATCCAGAGTGCATGATCACTGGCAGGGCGAATGCCGAGTCAGATGTATACAGCTTCGGTGTCGTCCTCCTCGAGATCGCTTGTGGTCGGTGACCGATAATGGCGCCGCAACGGCAAGCTGATGAAGAAGAGGACATGATCCACATTGCTCAATGGGTCTGGGATTTGTACGGCAATGGGAGGATTATTGACGCCGCCGACCACCGGCTGGGCGGCGAGTTCAACGGCGAGGAGATGGAGGCTGTCATGGTTGTCGGGCTCTGGTGCGCGCACCCTGACCGAAGCCTGAGGCCAACGATTAGGCAGGCTGTCAGTGTGCTGCGAGGCGAGGTGCCGCCGCCGAGCCTCCCGACGAGGATGCCGGTGGCAACGTTCCTGTCCCCAGTAGATGCTTTCAACTACACATCTTCATATGTGACAGGGAACACCAACACCAGCACCAGCACAAACACAACTCAGTCATCCAGGACGACTGGGACAGTTGCTTGATAAGTTCGATAATCCGTATATCATGCGTGGAGATGTATGTGTAGTTACTTTTTATCTTTCATGTTTTCTAGTTTGGTCTGTTGACCGTGGTATGCTTAGTGGAGGTTGATGGCATCGTGCCTAGCTACCCTTGTTCTTGTTACTTCTATATATTGCAATCGAAGAGAAAACGAAAAGCTGCCGCTTCATCGCAGCACCAAACATCTCGCGCCCACGCTGTTCATCACACTACTATACACTACAGGAATTCTGGGCTTCTATGACGATTACATTACGACGATAACAGCTTATTTCCTGTCACTGTCTGCCTGCAGTGACGAAATGGCTGTCATCACAGAAGGTGGGTCACTAATCAGCTTCTGTGACCACCAGAGGACATCGTCATTGATACAGTGACGATAATTCTCCTGTCATTGATGAATGACGAGACAAATTCGTCATAACAAATTGAACCGAATAGCGCCACGTATATGATGACATGTGATGTTGCAAATGACAAGGGCAGGCGATGTGGCAAATGACGTGGCAATTCACATTCGGGCCATATAGCATGGGCTTTTTTATTTTCAATTACAATCAGCCCAATTGGCCCAAATATTTTTTTTTTTGACCCAGCTACAAATTTGCTTTTACGTTTTTTTCATTATAGCCCAATAGTACAATTCTAGCCTATATTATGGGCCAGCCCAATTAAAAAGCAATCATAGAATATAAACCACAACCATTTCTATAATTATATTACAATCACATTCTAGCTATAATTAATTTTCCAGCCCCATACAAAAGCAAGTTCCAGAATACAGTTTCCATACAAAAGCACAAAACATGAATACAAAATGATTCATCCACCATCCAACTACACAAGTCCCAGCCGACTACAAAGTTCCTACAGGTAGTGCCAAGTTCCTGCACCAAAAAATTCCACCTAGCAGCCACTACTAAGTTTCGGCGTATATCTTGCCAGCAGCCAGCAAAAAAAATTCCACCAAGCAGCAATGCAACCTTTAGTTTTGCTGCAATGCAACTCCTTAAAGAGATCAATTGCAGTGGGCTCACTGTCTTTGTATTTTTCTTGCTTCTGCAATGTTGAGAGAAACATGATGGCATGAGTAATGGTTATGTTAAAGTACACAGATAACACAAAAACATGTCCTCCAGAACAAGCATTCTGGTTGACATTGATTCTTTTTGTTAAACATTGACAGTGGTTGCCATGTATAAACTTAATTGATGTCACCCCAAATAAGCATAAGCATGACAAGAGCAATCAAACCAAACTGATAGAAATTTATGGATAAAACATGAGCATATTTTTACATGGTCAAAGTGTGAGATAACCTGCTATTCTCCCTCCATGTTTTGCTGTAGCAGGGGTTAGAGCTTTGCCACCTCTTGTTGTCCTTGTTTTGCACTGTAGAGGTATGCCACTACAGAATGGCATATTGCTATACCTATACAATGCAAAACAAGGGCAGCAAAAGCTGAATAGAGGGCCAACCCACGCTGCTGCAGAAAAACATGTAGGGAGGGCTGCAGATAATCTCACATGAAGAGGGAGCCTACTAAAGCTTTAAATCATATAGCATTATGTAGAGCCACTATCAATATGAAGATATATATCTCCACTGGATCTAAACACCTCCATCAGGAAACACAAAAACTACATCCAACTAGATGACATCATCATTTTTTCCTTACCACGACATAGGCATGTGCAATGTAAGACCGAGATCCGGTACGCTGCTGAAACTGAACTTTTTCACGGTTCAGTTGGTTTTTGGCACATTTGTCCTGCATATGACAGAATTATAACCAGGAGAAATACTTACTATGGCAAGTAATCGAGCTGAAAGTCACCGTAGAGCTCCAGTCTTCCCGTCTCTAGTGCTCCTTGATTCCTTACTCTGCATACATCACAGTGTGCAAGTCTTCAGTTCAGAAGAGTCTACAATGCATATTCAATCCTACACACATGATCCTATGTATCCTTAATTTAACAAACATTGATATCGAGTCTTAATGCTCCCGAAGATATGCATCAGTTTACTATCCTCACCTCAACGAGCACATCAAGATGAGCCTCTGGTACCAACCTCGGTTGCATATCCTGCAAGCAACCAAAAAAAAATTATCATTAGAAAGTAGAAACACCTCAAATCACACTGGTGCGGAAGCTAAATCCAACCTGGCTGGGGCTATTGTGCTGCTCCTCGACCAAGAACGGCTCGACGAGCGACGCGGAGGTAAGCGCAACTCCCCCTGAGTGGCCGTGAGCCAAGCAGATGCGATCGAGAAGCGGCGGCGACTCCGCCAGTGATCCCGGCGGCAGGAGTACGTAGCGCCGACGCGGAAAGCGTGGTTGACCCCGACCTGGAGGAGAAACCAACCAAGCACACGATTCGTCAATCCGATTCAAATTCTCGCAAGCAAAGCCAAGGAATTCGGAGGAGGGGAGGGCAGGCGGCGACGCACTGGTGGAGATGGAAGGCGTGCCGCCGTATCTTGATGGCCTTGGGGTCCTGGAGGAAGAGCAAAGAGCAGAGTGGCGTTTAGTGAGAGAACTCGGGGAATAGCTTACGTGGCCCACTTTGTCATCCTCCATCCAGTGCTTCCCCTTGCCCTCCCCTTCCACCTCCGCGCCCTCCATCGCCTTCCTCCTGGCGGCGGCGGCGCTGGCCTTCCATCGCCACCTGATCTGCTAGCCGCTCGGCTGTTGGCGCCGGCGGTGGAACATGTAACGCACCGCCCAGCTGGCCCGCCGTATGGAGGCCGCCGACACCGCCATCGCGCGGTGGCTGTCCCGCCACGACCCTACCACGTGCTCGACGGCGTGCGCCGCCTCCGCGACGAGGCCGATGCGCGCATTGGCCGCCTCGAGCGCCGCGTCGAGGAGGTCGCCGCCGTGCAGCAGGCGTCGGCCGCCCATCCGCTCCCCGCCATGTCCCTCCCCTTCACGCTCCCGCCTCCGCCGCCGCCGCCGCCGCCCAAGGCCATGGCGATGATGGCCATGGACACGCCACCCAAGGCCATGGCGATGGGGATCGAAGCGCGACCGAGGAGGAGGAGGACGACGGCGTGGTGGGCGGCGGCGTGAGGGTGGGGAAAGAGAAGGTGAAGGAGATGGTGATGAGCAGCGGCGCCCGCAGCGGCGGGTGGGAGGAGGAGGAAGGGGACGGTGGTGACGGCGGAGTGGATGCTGGTGGCGGCGACACAGTGGATGGAGTGGATGGAGTTTGGGCTAGGGTTTGGAGAACAGGGTATATGGATAAGAAGCACTCCTATGCGAATTTACCAAACTGTCCCTACTATGTTCACAATAGTTACGAAATTGTATGGAAAAAATGGACATTTCACCTTAAATTTTTTTTCATGACTGCCGAGTTTGGCGCTAAAACTTTGGTTCGCACCGAAAATTCGGGGCGCCTCTGCAGCCCTTTCTTTGTTTTTGGCAAAAAAAAAATACAAATAATATGTTGTACTTTTTAATTTCAATTTATGATAACTTTAAATTTAATTTTAGGCTATGTTTTGTGTATCAAATGTAAAAATCATAAACAACAAAATTGTAGAGCTCATCGAGATCTACAACTATTGTATTGGTCCATTTTACGAATAAGTTCATTTGAACATTTCAAAATTTGAATTTTCAAAATTTAACAACTTCGAACAAAATTTGGGATTAATAAATGATTTCAAATGGAAAAGTCACCAAAATCAAAGTTGTAGAACTCATCGAGATGCAAAAATTTTATTTTGGTCATTTCTCTATCTGACTCTATTTAAATAATTTGAAATTTGAAATTCAAAGTTTGAGAACTTCAAATAGAATTTTTTATTAGTGAACGACTTCAACTGAAAAAGTCATCAACAAGAAAGTTGTACAATTCATCTAGATCTACAATTTTCATTTTGGTCATTTGTTCATTCGACAAAGTGATTTTAACATTGTTCATAAATTTTACATATCTCCATATGGTTTATAAACTATAAGAGAGATATGTAAATTTTGTGAACAATGTTACTATCACTTTGTCAGATGAATAAACGACCAAAATAAAAGTTATAGATATTGATGAGTTATACAACTTTGTTTTTGTTGATTTTTTCAGTTCAAATCATTTAGTATTTGAAAATGTTGTTTGAAGTTGTCATAATTTGAAATTCAAATTCAAATTATTGAAACAAAGTCATATAGAAAAATGACCAAAGTAAAAATTATAGATATTGATAAGTTATACAACTTTGTTGTTGATGACTTTTTCATTTCAAATCATTTAGTATTTGAAAATATTGTTTGAAGTTGTCATAATTTAAAATTCAAATTCAAATTATTGAAACAAAGTCATATTGAAAAATGACCAAAATAAAAGTTGTAGATCTTGTTAAGATATACAACTTTGTTGTTAACAATTGTTTTATTTGAAATTATTTACTACCCGGAAAGTTATTTGATTTGAGAGGAGGGAGGTAAATGGACTTGTCAGCGAGGGATGAGTAAAAGGGTGGGCCGGCGGCCCGAAGAGAGAGGAGGAGGGAGAGAGAGGCCGCGGGCTGAGGGAGGGAGAGAGTAATACTTGGGCCGAAAAAGGCCCAAGGACAGAGAGAGGAATTTTAATTTATTTTTCATTTATTTTAATAGGTTAAATGAATTTTGTGGTATTAAAATTAGTTATTGAGCTCCGAAAATTCACGGAAAATTTCAAAGAATAATTTAGACCAACTTATAGCCATTTTAGTTTGTTTTTTTAAGTTTTTTCATTCAATCATAAAATAAAACGCCACAATTTTGATTTTTTTATTCATAAAATGAGACTAGAGATGACTTCAATCCTAAAATCCTAAAATCCTAAAATGAGAGACTATAATTGATGTAGACAACAAGAGTCCACCTAGGACAAATGATTTATGGTCTAGTGGCAATGTAGTATAACAAGATTTTTTTTGTTTTTTTTAAAAAATATAATAGTTATGTGTTTTATGACGATCCATTATTGTCATCGTGCTATCGTCACAGAGCCCATGCAGAGTATACTATGACGATGGTTATGACAGATACACGGTTTGGTCATAAACAGTTGTCATCCTCTGAACAGTCGTCATAAACAGCCTCTATTTATGACAGATATGTGTTCTGTCATCAGGTAATCGTCATAGAAGTCCAGATTTGTTGCAGTGATAGAAATAGCCACAAGTACCGGTTGGCGGTTGTCGGATTTTGTGCCGGCACAAAATTAGTGGCATTGATGAAGGGATTCAAGCCGGTTGCTTAATTTTGAGCTCCCCCCAATGAGATAGTCAAGAACATCCATAGCTTAATTAGCACATTAGAATCAACGTCCATACAGTGTATGGCCTTCGAGCTCCGGCTGCGTGCAGCCTCTTGGCGTCGTCGGCCTCATATTCACGCGCCGTGTCGCGCCCTCATCCTCAGCATCGAGCAGCAAGCCAGCAACTCAGCAGGAGAGATGAGTGAGCTGTCCAATGTCCAAGGCCACCATAGATAGGGATGAGAAAGTGGAAAGAAGACAAGGACAAGATAGTCATTTACCTCCCGATTTGATGGGTTGACAGTTAAAAGTGGTAAAATAGAAATATTCCAATGGACCCGTGTAGCAAATAATCAAAGTCTTCGATGAAGATGGCATTTGGAATTATTAACAGTGAAATTTGGTAAGCCCCTAAGAGAATTATCACATCGCCTATAGTAGGATTTCTGCTATATTTGGTTAAAAAAATTAATCTATTAAATGAAACTTATCCAGAAGTGACCGAGTTCAAGGAGAATGCGGCATGGCAAGTTATCTATTAATTAGGACGGTGGGGCTTGGCACTTGACTCGGGGCTGCATTGGTTTTCGATCTCCGATGAATGGGTAAGTCCAATGTTTCACCGGCTCAGGCAATTGTATCGTCCACGCCGGCGCTATTCAAGGCTATATCAGTACATTCGACCTCTTGGATTGCTCTAGTTTGGTTGATATATTTGCCTGGCTATTTATCATATGTTTAGTTAATCTAGTCTTAGTATCTCAATTTAGCTCTATCGGTTGTCTCTCGCTTTAGGGTTTCTACCGGTATCGGCTAAATTGTTTTACTAAGATTAGATTAGCTAAGGCATCTACCACCCTAAAAATCAGTCAACAGCTTGATTGTCTAGATATTGTGTTTCTTTTCATACTTAGTGCTGCATTAGTTAAGTTTGATTTACTAAGCCGTGTTTAGAACCATAATCCCTAGCTTGCTTTTTGACTGCCAATAAGGGTTTCATCGGGGTTTCAGGTGATGAGATATCTCGACGTTGCATCGGCTTACAAGGATTGCATGTAAGTTGGATTTAGTCGATGATAACAAAGATTTCACCATTTAATCTAATTTGTGGATTTTATGACATCGGATCTCCAGCCGATGTATGCTTTAACATTCGGACACTTGTTCTATCATATCATTGTTAGCCGATTGGTTTCTAATGGATTATATTGTTGCTTTCCTACATTATCATCAGCCGATTGCCTTTATATTGTTATTTACATCAAGCGTCAGAATCTACATCGGAATTATAGCCGATAGCTCAAAACCCTATCGGTATCGGCTGGTATTGACATCGGCTAGAATTAATCTATCGGCTTATCAGCCGATCGGCTCATTGATATGCTATTTGTATACCTTGTCAGTTGCAGAGTCAAACTGACTGGCACGCCTGCATCTCATCAACTTTTGGTCCTGCACTTGAGCTAAGCAGATCTCCCAGGCCAGTATGTGTTTTTCGCGTCAATAGGAATAGACCACGGGAGAAGATTGCAAATAGTCCAACAAAGAAGAATAAGTATATGTTAAAAAATAGGGGCAATATTTGGGTGGTTCTCTATGTAAAAAAAAAATAGGGCCGATATTTGGGTGCTTCTGCTTCTCTGGATAACATTGGTACCAAGCAGGTTAAAACCGTCTTCTAATGTGTGTGGTGGTAAAGTTATCTATTTTGATTATATGAATGGTGTTTCCTGGAATAGACACATTTTTTTAGATAAACATATAACAAATTTGGTATGCATTACCAGTTCCGGGCACGTCTGTGCATTGAGGGCATTCCAACGCATGCGCGCACTGAGGTCACTGCAGTCAAGCTGATTGGGCCCAGGTGCGCCATCAACTTCATCGAAGAGTACTCACGTCGCCACAACTATAACCGCACCTTCGACCTTCGGATCTAGACAAACGACCCCGGCGCCATCCCCAAAATGGCATGGCTGGGGTTGGCAAATCCGGATGATGAGCTGGTCCCTGTCGACATCCCCATGCCCGACATCGACCCCATGCACAACCCCCCACCGTCGGGGCCCAAGGATGGATGTTTGTCCCCGGTGATTATTCACCTGGACACCTTGGAGGACCTCCAGCCTCATCCAATGTTGTACAAGCAATACGAGTGGTCCTACGGGGTCTATGATGATTGTATCTCGTTCCCGTTCGGGCTCTCGGCCTATTCCGTGCAGGCTAGAGCCGAGTGCGGTGCGGGGACCAAATGAAGACCCAGATGGGGATGGTGGTCGGCCTCATCCGCGCTACCAGAGCCGCTCCAGGTCACTGTGGGGCCGCATCACGGGGAGATCCCACAGCAGTGAGCGTGGGGGAGATGGTCAAGGATTCTACAATGAAGACACGAGGGGATGCCAGCGCAACAGAGACACATACATCACCATAAACCACATCCGCCGTTCTAGGGACGACACTGAGGTTAGGGCCCCAATTTCACTTTCAGCCGCGCAGAAGCAAAAGCCCAAGAGGGGGGGGGGATCCCTCGCTATTGATCTGTCTTCTTCTCCAGCTGAGTTGTTTTCCTTCCATCACGGGGACCAGGGAAACCAGGAACAGCAAGAGGACCCCATAAGGGCACTCACAGTGCGTCGTCGCAAAATGCCGTTCCTGAGGTACCAGCTAGGCAAGGAACACAGAAGACACTTGATTCACAGTGCATGTGGCTTATTTTATTTTCGCAAGCACATGATAGTGGGTCCCACCCGTCCTCTCTCTCTTCCCTTTTCATCTCTCTTCTCTCTCCATTCTCCCCATCCGTATCGCCCATCTCCCCCATCCGGCGCCCCTCTCACCAAAAGCGAGCGGCGAGCGGCGTCCGGCCTCCGCGCCGTGGCCCGAGCAGCGACGGCGTTGGGCGGGTGCGCGGCGGCGGGCGACAGCGTCGGGCAGCTGCGCGGTGGCGGGCGTCGATGACTGCGGCAGCGGCGGGCGGACGACTTG